GTTCAGACGTGTGCTCTTCCGATCTCCCCAAAACCCCAAAACCCCTTGATGAAGAAATTGGCAAATATAATGAAATAAGTAATACAGAGCAAAAATTGGCAACAAAAATCGCATAGTTTATTATAATAAATGGCTTTAGATCAAATATGGCTGGAATGTATCAGATTATGAATGATAATTAAATGAATTAACGATTGTTTGATAATTTAAGCTATCTCTAGCTGTTTCTTTATTCTAAGTGCCTTTTATAACTTCTTTAAGAAGAAGCCTTTAATACAAATAAACTTTAACACTCTAGGATATCTCAATATTATAATATGTGACGAATTTTCATTATAATTCTTTATAATTTGTGACGAAACATAATGGTTTTTAACTTGAATTTAATCAAAGTATAGACTAGAATAATGTATTTCCTTATAAATTTTCTTTTCAATGTCAAAGAAAGAGCAAAAGAAGCAATAAAATAGAAAATTTGGAGAAAATCGTACATCATCATCTCAACATCCCTAAATCATCTAAGGAAGACAGGTACCATCTGGCCAAACTAAATAATAAAATGGCTAATTTATTAATGATAAAATTTAGAGGAATTAGAAGGATCATTAAAATTAAAATGAAGGTAATGCTTTTTTTTAATTAAATATATAGAGGTTAACTTTGATCATCCTGAATCATCAGAAGAAAGCGAGCAATTAGAGATCTAGTAAAAAGTACTGAAGGAGCATTCATTTACTAATAATATTGAAGATTAATATGGATAAATCAAAGATGATGGAAACTAAGCAAGCAAAATTCCATATAAAAACGAAAATTTTTAATGAAATCAGAATTAAAAAAGAAGTACTAGGAAATTCGATCAGAAGTCTTATAGATAAAATTCAAATTAGCATGGCAAAAACCTATAAGCTGAATAAACTATTAATTTAGCAGCTGAATAAATCGAAAAGACATTCGAAAATTAAGTACAACTTAATCGCATATCAAGATAAGCCGATAAAAAATTTGTGAAATATGATGGAAACTAGAATCAAGAAATTGATCCTGATAATTTTATTGATAATTCTAGTCTTTAAGAAGAAGAGCTGAGATTAAATATAGAAGTTAGCTAGGAACAAGATGAATAAAATAAAATTACTTTTGATTTAGATTAAAGTTGGCAATAAATGAACTAATAAAGTTTGCAGCCTGTTATCATAAGTAAGAATGATTATGTTCAGTCGAAGAAAATAATCGCAAAAGGAGAATTTATAAATAGAGATAATCCCTATTTTATTCCTACAATTTAAATTTTGATGACGGAAAAGGATCATCTTCCTAGCTACATAAAGCCCCTTATAATTCGTTATTGACTTAATGAATATAAATGCTAAAATTTGAAGTGATTTTAGCTTTAAATTTACATTTTGCAAACTCATCACTATAATCTATAAAGTTCTTGGGGTTTTGGGGTTTTGGGGTTTTGGGGTTTTGGGG